GGCTCAGGCAATCCACTCACCTCAGCCTCCCAAAGGCGTGGGATTACAGGCTGAGCCACCGAGCCCGGCTAGGTCTCATTTCTTTACAACAGAGTTTCTCAACTTTAATACTACTGACATTTTAAGCCTGATAATTCTGTGGCAAGGGGGGAGAGGGGACCATCCTTTGAACTGTATGAAGCTTAGTCGAATCCCTAGCCTCTACGTGCTAGATGTCAGTAATAAACCCTGCTGACACCCATGTGACAAAACTGTCTTCACACATTGCCAAATGTCCCGAAAGGCAAAAACCACGCCTAGTTGAGAACCACTGATTTATAGATTGCCTAGTTTCCCTTATAATATATCACTGTTTGAAAAAAAAAAAAAGGTCAGGCACCTCTGAACATTTTCTAAGATGTTCAGATATATTCAAATGACATCTGGGGAAAAAAAAATGTGGTATGTTAAACCTGTCCAGAAATTGTTTATCTGTCACTATACGAGGAAAATAAAAGTCAACACTTTCCCTTTAAGTCTTAGAGCCCATCTCATGCAATAATCTCACTAATAAACCACGAAGAGGACGGTAGGGACTGCACACAACGGGTGAAAATGATGGGAACACAGCTAGGAGGGGATCCAGTGAAGAGGAAGACCAGTGTCTCCTACTAGATTGTTTCTGGTCTGGTCTTACTGCTCCTCTCAGTGCTATTCCTGGTAAGACTATATAGCAACTTCGTTAGGGTTAGAAATGTTAAACTGAGTGAAAGTAGAAATGGAATGTATAGTTGAAATTGATTATATGCGACTCTGAAATCATGCCAACAACGGTGAGGAACAAAATCAAATTTCATATAGGTATAAAATGGGAAATGACCAGCTATGTGCAATAGCAAATGGACTTCTAGGTTTTAGGAACTATAACCTAGTTGCCAGACCTGGACTAGGAATATGAAAAAAAAATGCTCAAAATTAACCTGCAAAAAGGGATACTGAAAAAAGTAAAAAAAAAATTTAAAGTGGATATGCACTAGCAGACACCAAGTGTCCTGAAATATGACCAGATGGATTGAAAAATGGGACCTAAGAAAATCGGCAGGGTGTGGTGGCATGCATCTGCAGTTCCAGCTATTCAGAGGCTGAGGTGGGAGGACTGCTTGAACCCAGGAGTTTTAGGTAACCGTGAACTAATAATCATGCCACTGCACTTCAGCCTGGGCAACACAGTGACCAGGTCTCTTAAAAAAAAGGAAGAAAAAGAAAATGGGACTAGGAAATTGGGCGATTGAGGAAAATCAAAGCAGATTAGGATTCACTATGAATAAAAATCCTGACCAGGTGGTCTCCCCAAAGAGGAGTTATGGCATACTTCAGCAATCTGAGAGAACAGACCCTAAGAGTGACTTAAACACCAGATATCATACTATGATCTAAACATTTGAGTACAACAGAAGTTAACACTCCAATGATAATAATGAACAGATTTCCATACTTCAAGTTGTTGCAACTGGCAAGTGCTACTCTTTTTGGTGACATTCAGGGGGGAATTTGCCCTTAAAAACGTAATTGCCAAAGTGCCAACAGTCAAATTGATAAATGACAGCTTTATTTTTTCACACTTAAAGGATGATGAAAAACCACTACTAATCCCATTAAAGAAAATCCAGCGTTTTAGCTGAAAAGTTTGGGAACTATATTCACTCATTAAATATCAAATTTAACTTTTCTGAAACCCAACTTGAAAACACCCAGCATGCATGTTCAATTTTAATACAGTGAGTTCGAGGCCACATGTACACGTTACACGCATGAAGGCTGGATTACAGGTTGTCACCGTCGTCGTCATCGTCGTCGTCGTCGACGTCTTCATGTTTTCTTTTCAATGCGTTTGACGATTCACTGGCAGCATTTTGTGGTGACACCATGTTAGTGGTAATAAGAATGTTTTTGGGCCCAATTAAAGAGGGATTAATCAGCACATTCTGAACTGCTGATGTTGCAGGAACTGACGCTTTTACAGCTGGGGACTGTGAAGTAGGCATCTGTACTGTAAACCTTTGTCCTGTGAGGGACATTGGAGTCCCCACCTTAGTTGAGACAGACATGGTTTGTGGGGTTGGTGTGCCCAGTGTGGGAGTGCTCGGTCTGCTGGTAACGGAACCGACACTTAACCGTGGGACTGTTATTCTGCCCGCAGAAGTAGATGCCTTCTTCTGTAAAGACTTAAGCCTGTAGTTTGGAGCTGTTAAGCAATACCTATCAGGTGGCAATCTAGGACCTGAATATGGCTTGATCAATGGCAAAGGGGTTTGATTTCTTTGCCTTGCAATGTCTAATAAAAAATCTCTTGGAGGAGGGGAGGTAAAAGACTGGTCAGCACGACACTGGATTGCCAATCGCACATCATCTGCATCGACAGTAGCTTTCTTAGCATGGCTTGAATAAACTTTTGCATCATCTAGAATTGTGGTCACATATCGGAAGGCAAACTCCAACATCTGATTTATAACTCTTGGCTCATATTCTGTAATCCCCATATCCTTCAGGATTTGTGCCATCATCTGTGCATCTTTCGGCATGCTCTTGGGAGAAGCCATCTTGCCAGACTCCATGATATCCGGTGATCAGACTTTAGATCATTTGAAAAAAATATGTACATTAAATCAATGTGAAATAGTTACTTTAGTAGCAACTGTCAGGAACTTTAAAAAAAATTAATTATATGTTAAGTTTTTAAAAATGTATTTAAAATTTAAACCATGATAAATCTTTTTATTTTAATAAGGCATACTTAAAGTTCCCTTCACTTAAATTTATTGAGTTCCTACACTGCACTAATCACTGTAGAATATAAAAAGATGAAGACACAAATAAGAGAATGCTAAGAGATTAGGTGGAAATGGGGTAAAAGAAATAAAAACGCCTATCACCTTAGAATATATGCAGTTGCATATAGGCATGCAACTATCAAACTAATCTGAGATAACACAGGACAGTCACATCATACAGCCAGAGTTCAAAACAATCCAATGAAGTCAATATTCTCACTGTCACATATGATGGCTTAGCACTACCCAAACCTTTGTGTTTGCCCAACTCAAAAACATTCTCTTCTTTCCACTTATCTATCCTAACTCCAATCTCTTTATGGGAGTTTTCCCAATTATTACTATTCACAGGAATGACAAGTCATTTGGAGGGAGGGAGAGGGAAATGGTCAAAATAACCAGGACACGACATTGGACACACTATTTTCTTTTCTATGGGCTGCCAATAGGGTGTATATTCTTTAATGGCAATCTCTCTCTGCTTTTTGTACCCATTCACAACCTCTACTAATACTCCACTTTCTTTTTTTAAAAAACAAATCAAACACCAAAGAGTCCCTTACCTTCTCGAGCTAAATCACCCACATTAATGTATTTCAGTCCTGATCTTGATGCAAGTTCTTTGCCTAGTGTGGTTTTTCCAACCCCTGGTGTACCTGTAAGGCAAGCCACAGAAAAATACTGTTTGTAAAATACTATTTATTAGACTTCAGCCACCTTCTGCCCTTCTTAAGGTTCTTGACAGCTAAAAGAAAAATTTTCCTAATCAGCAATCATATATGAATTGATATATACTATAATCTAATAAAAATTTCCCAAAGCCAACTGAATGTCAGAATCTTACCCAGTGTATCTTATTATCTAGGGATGGAGCTCAGGAGATTCTGATGCCAATTCAGACAACCTGCCACCACCATGGAAATGTCCAGAATAAAATTAGCCACTCAAATTTATTACCATCAGTTATTTGCTTTAATTTAAAAGATTAAGAAATTGTTAGCCAGGCACGGTGGTTCACACCTGTAATCCCAGCACTTTGGGAGGCAGAAGTGAGAGAACTGCCTGAGCCCAGGGGTTCAAGACCAGTCTGGGCAACTTGGTGAGACCTCAACTCTACAATAAATCATAAAAATTAGTCGGGCGTGGTGGCACACACCTGTAGTTCCAACTATTTGTAAGGCTAACCTGAGCCCAGTAAGTCAACTGTGGTGGCCATGAGCATGCCACTGCACTCCAGCCTGGGCAAAAGAGTGAGACTCACCTCAAAAAAATAAAAATAAAATTACTAATGAAAAAAAACTGGCCGGGCTTGGTGGCTCAGCCTGTAATCCCAGCACTCTGGGAGGCCGAGGTGAGTGGACTGCCTGAGTCCACAGGTTCAAGACCCGCCTGGGCAACTTGATGAGACCTCATCTCTACAATAAATAAAAAATTAGCCGGGCATGGTAGCGCGCGCCTGTAGTTCCAGCTACTTGGAAGGCTGAGGCGGAAGGATTGCCAGGGCCCAGCCCGGCCACCGCAGCAGGTCGAGGCTGCGGTGGCCAGGAGTGGCCATTGCACTCCAGTCTGGGTGATAGAGTGAGACTCCAACTCAAAAAAAAAAAAAAAAAAAAAAAATTTAAGCAGCCTGAAAATCTTTTCATCACCACTACTGACTGCTTATACCTTACCCTAAAAGTAACCATGGTAAACCAGTTTTTTATACAGATGTGTCTTTCCAAAGAAATCCTATGTGTGTGTTTGCGTATTTATTTACATGTACCTGTATGAATATACTGTGTACATACATACATAAATACAACACACATTCCCTTTTACTTAAACAGCGATACCATACATTGTTCTTCACCTTTTTTTTTATATCTACTATATCACATTTCGGGGTATGATGCATAACCTTCAGCAATTCAATTTAAGGCCACTGAATTTCTTAAGTTTGAGCATAATTATTAAGTTTGAGCAATGTGTTTTCAGTAAAATGCTTACTCTGTAGTTTTCACAATATGACATTAAAAAAAGGCGGGATACTACGCCTGACCCATGCAAATAAGATGTTGTAAAACCTTTTGCTTAAGGAATCTTAAAGCAAAATACTCATTTATGGGCGGTCAATCTGCAGCCCTCAGAATCAAGCCTTCTGCGGGGCCGACCACAGGTTTTGGTAAACGACACAACTTTATGGCTTTGTTTCCACAACGAACGTCTTTATTTTTCTGTGTGTTGCAACAGCAACTACACCCATCGGGACTGTCCACGAATGACCTATAATGCTCACACCACCCCAACTTAATAAACATTTCCAGGGGATACATAGCCGGCCAAAAGTCGTCACGTAGCATTTCTGTTCCCTTGGCTGACGACGCCCACCCCGAGGGTGGCTCCCAAGACCCGCGACTCCACAGCCTCCCCCCACGAAAGATGCCCCTGATGCTCACTCAACAAATACCCACAGGAAGGGAGGCCGGCCGCAAACATTTGAACCCGTCCACCGAGAGGTGATCCCGGGGGCCGTCTCAGGCGCAAAACGAAAACGAAAACACGGCCCTGCCTGAGGAGCAAGGCTTCCACCACGAACACACCCTCCGAGGGCCCGGCGCGGCCTCACGTCATCTCCCTAACAACCCCCAAACCGCCCCTGCCCGACAGTCAACAGCCCATTTTACGGGCAAAGCACCAGATTCAGACGACTAAGCCGACTGCCCAGGAGGGGAGCTGGGCCAGTCTACCGCTCTCCCCGCTGCGAGGAGCCCCCGGCCAA